TTTAATGTGTATTATACGATAAGAAAACACGAGTTTGTCCATTGCATGCGGTTCAATTAATCAAAGAAAAAAGCTCTAAACGATAAGGCAAACGAGTGTGAATGTAGAAGTGTTATAATGAGGCCGAGACAGTCACATGGCCCCTATTGCTTCCATGCCTTTCATCTCTATCTCCATTCTCTCCCACACTTCTCTTTGTCCCGTCACTGTTTATGTTTTTGGTTACTCGCCACCATCTCTTTCTCTGGTCCCATCATGAATACACTTGACCGACTCTTCCTTGTCCCTTTATAAACTAATTTATACGATAATCCCAACATCATCATGATCCAATATAGATTTTAGATTTAAAATGATGTTTTGGTGGAATCTGAGGTTCAATCATTGCTTTTATTTGTAATGGAAAATACATTTAGATGATGACTCACGCCAATAATTCCGTTTCAATCACACAATGTTATTATTTTTTAATTAGAAGTATCAAATATTTAGTGTTGGAGTCTATGGGTGTAAGTCTCTTCTCAGTTAGCATTTTCTTTTTGGTTTTATCAAAACGGAATATGTATGTCCAAAATAACATGATTTATGGTGTTGCATTGCATGTGTAGAATTGGAAATCAAAATAATATATGTGAATGATAATAAAATCTAAACATATAGTGTTCAAATTCAGTCATGACTAAGTGTTTCATTGCATGTGTGTTTCATTGTATGTGTGTTTCAGTGTATTCTTTCCAAATAAATAGGGATAGGATTTTTTAGTTATTGCCCGTATAATGAAATCAAGTTCTAGTTGATAAGGAGGTTGTTATGAGAACCACACATGTCTGATCTACATGAAAAATACGCTTTGATTCCTAACCTCATGTGCAAGAGAACCAGTATGAACATTTTTCGCTCCTCGGAATGTAGATAATACTGAAACTAAGTAGGGGTAGTTTGCAAAAGATCGATCGTATGCAATGATATAAAAAGACTTCGTCGATTACAAGAGGTAGCAAAACAAAAAGATTTAGTCAATTACACAAGGATATTAAGTGTAGTCATATAGATAGACACTTGTCTTTCTCGCAAACGTCACATGGTACATCTACTTCATGTATTCTTGTCCTTGGACCGTGGTACCACTCCACTTCATTAGAAAGATGCAATTAACGTTAGATAGTACTATGTACTAAAAACGTAAAAATCATAGCTCGTTTCCTGACGGCCCATGGCTTTCTCTGAAAACATGGAAACAAATATTTAACTCAGGCTTTTCTATTCTTTTGCTGGCCCAATCCTTTGAGATACTAGTTTATATTTTTATTTTGTGAAACTCAGTTAATAGTACCTAGTAGCTAGCTATTTTCAAATAGGGAATCTAAAATATGGTGGATAAAAGTGCCACGTTCCACGAGTTGGCCAATGAGGAAACTTAGTGCATTATCCATAGAGATAAGCAGAATCTAGTTCTGTCATCACAGAATAGTTTATACATCACTCCTTCGTTTCTTCTCCTTCTCCTAAAACTCTGAGTCTTGAAGAAGGTCAACAACTTCGAGAATAATGACTTCTCTTTGTGCTTCTTGTGCCATCGCCGCTATTTCTTCTCCAAGGTAACCTCATCTTCTTCTCTCCTCTCTGTTCAATTAACATCAAATTTGCTATTTAGGTAAGAACAGTGTCCCTCTGACATTTTTAAAATTGTCATAATGTCCTGCTTACATAAAAACTGTGCATTATTCTTTATATAAAATTTTCGTAATACTATATATTTATCGCATAAAATCTTGATCATGTCCAAAACGATTGTAATGTAGTGATTGTATTAGTGACGTTGCTCTTTTACAATATGACTATGAGTGTGCATGCATGTGAATGCTAAACGGTATAGTCACAGTAACCCTAACAAAGTGTATGATATATGTGCAGTTTCTTGGGAGGGAAGAAACTGAGGCTGAAGAAGTTGAGTGTTCCAGCTGTCTCTAGGTCGGCTACGTCCGTGCGCGCCGCCGCAGCTGATCCAGATAGACCAATCTGGTTCCCTGGAAGCACTCCTCCAGAGTGGCTCGACGGTAGCCTCCCTGGTGACTTCGGATTTGATCCTCTTGGTCTTTGTGAGTGCTATTTATTTATCACTTATATAATATTCTTTAAACAGATTTTACTATATGATTAGATTATTTTCATATTTCGACTAACCACAAACTGTACATGTGACAGCATCTGACCCGGACAGTCTAAAGTGGAACGCACAAGCAGAGCTAGTCCACTGCCGGTGGGCAATGCTCGGCGCCGCCGGGATTTTCATCCCGGAGTTTCTAACCAAGATAGGAATCCTCAACACGCCGTCGTGGTACACGGCGGGAGAGCAAGAGTATTTCACCGATAAAACCACACTCTTCGTCGTTGAGCTCATCTTAATAGGATGGGCCGAGGGACGTAGATGGGCTGATATCATTAAGCCAGGTAGCGTCAACACTGACCCAATCTTCCCAAACAACAAACTGACGGGCACAGACGTCGGATACCCGGGTGGGTTATGGTTCGACCCGTTGGGTTGGGGATCCGGTAGCCCAGCTAAGATCAAGGAGTTGAGGACTAAGGAGATAAAGAATGGAAGGTTGGCTATGTTGGCAGTGATGGGTGCTTGGTTCCAACATATCTACACTGGGACTGGTCCTATTGATAACCTTTTTGCACATCTTGCTGATCCTGGCCACGCCACTATCTTTGCTGTAAGTGTGATCCGAATCATGTTTTGTTATTGTTTTGTTTTGATGGATTGTCTCATTTGTTTAGCCCCAACTAATCTTTTGTGTGTGTTTTTCTTTACAGGCTTTCACACCCAAGTGAGAGGTTAAAAAGGGAAGGATGCTTTTGTGTGATCATGTTTGTACAAATATCTCTTTTTTTTTTTGTTGAACTTGAAGTATTATGTATTTATATAAATTGTTCTCGAATGCAAATTAGGGTTCGTCGTAAAACTACTCTTGACTAAATGCTCATACCTTGCTTTTACATTGCTCTATGAGATTAGCTGTGACTTGTGAGGGGTCTGCTTTCAAAAGTTAAATTATATGGTTTTGGACCTTGTCTAAAAGGATGCATGGTATGGTCTTGAACTCGTAATCATCAAAAACAATGTTAATTTAAGTTACAAAAAACAATGTTTGTTTATAAAATATGATCACTCTGCCCAGCAGGTCAACCCCTTTTAACACAAAGTAAGATATAAGTGGAAACTTAAAAACAAAGAAAGAACATGAAAAGATGTAGTGACCAGCATTAGGTGATGTTTAGACTGATTAACCATAGTAATGGTTAAACTCTCCGGCCGGCTATTTCTTGTTGTATCTCCGTCTCACTTGGAGCTTTGGGATTCTTCTCAGGTTGTGCTTAAATCATCTCTCCATTTCGTCACGTGTAGTGTCTATCGTTTCGTTATAGCATCGAGTGAGGTTGGGAAAGTTCATTAGAGAAGAGAAGTCAGTGCGTGAAGAAGGTGCGAATTTGCAAGCTGTGTGGAGTCCTGACTCCAAATTGATCGCTCTTCTCGTGAGTTCTTAGATTCACTCTTATCTGTGAATGATGCGTATAGTTTTTAATATTGAAAGTTTGATGCTTTTCTTGTGAGTTTCTTAGTGTTACTCTTTTCTTTAGTTTATCATTCCTTCTCCAGCTCCAGTTGTTTATTGATTTGTGATACAGAGTTCTTATTTGTGTAAAGATAATTTCTTTGTTCTTGTTTAGTAGACACCATCGTTCTTCCTTCATATATATAAAGTAAAGTTTATGGATAAAAGAGTAAAAACTGGAAGAGAGGCAGCCCTCCGAGTTGTGTTTTGCAAGCATCTCTCTTTTGCTAAGTGAGCAGGTCCCTTTTGCTGCCAAGGACTTGTCTGTGTTGGGTTTTTTTTTTCTTGTATGATTAATTCCTTAGTGATGTTTTTGGGGTTAGAAATGTAAAGCGGATTTCTTTAACCTTTTGTAGGAGCAATTTTGTGAGGGACAGCAAAACTATGCTTTTGGGACTCTCTGATGGATGTTTATTTAGTATTTCCTGGAAAGGAGAGGTAAAGTTTATCTGCCTCATCTGCATATATCTTGGGTGTTAGTAACTGCTTCTTTTCTGGATTTCTTAATTTTTGGAGCTTTTAGTATTGGTTCCCAATGTTCTGATAGCAACGATGATAGGCTATTATTTTCTTCTGGGGTAGCTTCAGCAACACTTGCATCTGATGATAAAATCTCAACAAGATCGGCTATTGTTCAGTTGGAACTCTGCACTCGTTCGAAGTCATTGTTTGTGTTGAATTCTGATGGGCAGCTAGTGGTATGTTGTGTAAATAAGAAAGGCTTAAAGTACACTGAGAGCATATATATTAAAGCTGAGAAGAAGTTGTGTGGTGATGCTGTTTGTGCATCAGTGGCTTCAGAGCAACAAATTCTTGCTGTGGGTACCAGAAAAGGGGCGGTGGAGTTATATGACCTTTCACAATCGGTCTCTCTCTTACGTACTGTTTCTTTGCATGACTGTGGGTGTAAGTAACTTAACACTATGGAACTCAGCACACGGGGTTAATAAAACTATTTTAATTTTACTTGTGTTTATTTCATGCCCTTGATATATTGGGTAGTTACATGGTTGATAAAACTGTTTTGGAACTTGCAGTTATTCTGCAGACTACACTGGGCCTGTGAATAAGATTGCATGGACGCCTGCCTGACAATTCTGCTTTTGCGGTTGGGTGGAAGTCGAGGGGACTTGCAGTTTGGTCTGTCTCTGGTTGTAGATTGATGTCAACTGTCCGCCAGATTGGACTGAGTTCTGTATCTTCCCCTAAAACTAACCCAAACCAAGACTGTAAATACGAGCCGCTGATGAATGGCACTTCAGCCATCTTGTGAGAGAATTCTTGCATTTTCGTTCGGAAAATGTTGCTTTAAGCAGAGGAGGTTCAGGAAAAACTTATGTTCGTCAGGTGATGTATGATAAGATAGACTACTGATGGTTCAGGCTGAGGACACTGATGAGCTCAAGCTTTTAAATCTAAAACTTCCATTTGAGTATCAATGAATTCTTTTTGAATGAATAGTATCAATGAATTCATTATCAAGAACAACAGATTCATTGCAAGGGTTTGTTATGGTTGGGAAGATTGTCGTAATTTGTAACTACATTGAAACTTCTGAGACGTAAGGCCGAATCTATATTATTAGTTTACTGATTATGCTTCGCTAATCGCTAGCTATTTCTATTGATGTTTGCGAAAGAGAGAAACGGCAATTTAGTTAGTCTTTTGAATGTTGTTTCAGTTCACGTGTATGTTGTTACTATGGCAGGTATGAGTTGCTTTTCTATCCAAGATATCACCTTGATCAGAGCTCTTTGCTTTTTGTCGTAAATTGCTGCTTGGCAAACCAATGGTGATTGATTGATGTTTACCACAGGATTGATTATATATACTCATATCTCATCTTCCGTTTGTCATCTACGTATACCATGTGAAGATATATGGTGAGCTCATGACGCCTTCAAGCAAAGCATACCTACAGGTAGCTAATTTTTTGGTTCAGTCATTTGATGCGTCAGTTTCAGTAGACATTCAGAAAAGTAGGGATTTTTAGCTTCCAAATGCGAGCGCTTGAGTTCCTTTTCATTCACCTTAAAGTGATTAAATGACAAACAGCTTTTCACAGTAAGAGAAATTGTCCATCATGACTGCCAAGAGCCATATATCCAGCGGCAATGCGATTTGTTCCTGATCAGCAACCGAGAGAACGCGACTTGGTAATGATAGTTTGTCTTCTGATTCGTCAGACAGGGAACCCTCAAGGTAATATTGAATAAGAGTAAACATCCATTTGAGTTTTTATGATATCCTTCTGAATGCATTTGTGATCTTCGTAGATGTCTTTCACTCCATTGTGGTTTCTTTTCATGCTTTCCACTCTGGTTTTCGAAACAATATGAAAACTAAAAACATAAACCCCTGCATCATTGTAATAGTCTCTGCATCTTCAGAGTATTTTACTTTTTTAATCTTGCCTGTATTGAATCCCCTCAGCTGCAAATGAGTGAGCTACAGAACCGGTTAGATGCAGAGTTTCTACTGGCGCAGATGTGTTCAGTGAAGTTCAAAGAATGGATAGTTGTTCTTGCCACTCTTTTATATTTATGTATTCACAAGCGCAGGTTCTTTATGATATAATTCCGGTCTTATCTACGGTCGTGGAAAGCATACGCATGACATTACAGGTAAAACTCTTGTTTCCTTACCAATCAAAACCCCATTTAGTACCGTGTCAGAGTCCTCTTTTAAAAAATTGTTCTTTGTTTCAGTTTCACTTGGGTTTCGCTCAGTATCATGACTTGCTCCAGATCTTAGAGGAGAAACTCTCAACCACCTCACGAGAGGAAGCAGTAGAGATTCCATCTCTTGAACAAATCATCTTCTTTTTGGAGCTTTTTTCACTTGTAAAACTTTTTGACCTCTTTCAACATTTTTCCTGTTCTTGTAAGATATAAACATGATTCCAAAAGAAATAAGAAATACATGTTCGAGTGCCTAGATATAAAATTACAGTTCTTGCACAGTCTTTCATTCTCTGTAGTCCAGTTTGGTCTGTGTCTTCGGCCAACTTAGCAAAGCAGACTCGGAACCAACCTGGCTCATAGCAGTGAAAGGACGAGCCAGGAGAGACATTGATCTTGACCTTATGATTGATTATTTTTGGCCATTTCAGACACAATGTTCTGGTCTCTTTAAGCATCTGCCTCGAATCTATTTTGCGGCAATTAACACTGGAATTCTTCAATCTTTTATTCTGGTTCCTAAAATATGACGAAATCAATGAAGCATATATATGGGGAGCCATTTTGTATTCTATAAAAGCAATGAAGAATCGAGGTAGATGATAATAGAAACCAAACCAAAACATCACAAACTAAAGACATGGAAATGCGAAGCTTTTCTCGCCCGGATAAGCAACAGAGTAACCTTGCATAAACTGTTTAAGCTTAATCAAATCATCAGAACTTGTAAGACGCTCCATTAAAATCTCCACTGTGGTCTGATTTGCTTCACAAGAGGACTGGTTCATCTCATCCATTAGTTTAAACACTGTCTCTTTCTGTTGCACCTCATTAAGACACTTAAACAAGGCATTGTACGTTTCAACATTCGGTCTCACCATTTTCTCCTTCATTCCCTCTTTCAGAGACATAGCTTGTCCGAGATTCCCCACCTTGCAAAACGCGTTTATGAGAATGTTGTATATCACGGTGTTGGGACTGACCTTTGAGCGTGAACCCATGTCATTGAATAGCTTCAACGCTTCGTTTAAATCCCCAGCCGAGCAATAAGCTTCTATTATCACTCCATATGTCACAACAGTTGGATGCAACCCATCTTCTCTCATATTCTCCATCATTTTCTGAACACTCTCAAAGTCCTTGAGTTTACAGAAAAACGAGACCAATGTGTTGTAAGTGATGGAATCAGGTTTCATCTTTGCCTCCTCCATATCGGTTAGCATCTCATAGACTTTCTCTCCGTTATTCTTATCACAAAACAACCCAATAAGCATGTTATAAGCCAGCAAATCAAGAGAAAACCCTGACTGTTTCAGCTTCTCCACCACTCTAACCGCGTCCTGATCTCTTCTAGCTTGGCACAATCCAGATATCAAAGCGTAATAGAGCTTTGCATCAGGTGAACAACCAGCTTCCAACATTTGGTCAAACAATCCCATAGCGTTTTCAATATTACCAACACTGCAGTAAGCAGTGATCAACGTCGTATAAGTAACCACGTTACCTTTCAAACCTTCCCTTTGCATATCCGTAAAGAAACCAATCGCCATGTTAACTCCATGGTGCCTACACATTCCACCGATAAGTGTATTTAGAGTGACCACATTCGGTTTAATCCCATCCTCCTTCATCCGAGACACAACTTCTTTAGCCGTTTCAAGCTGTCCCGCTATGCAATACCCACCAATCAAACAATTGTAAGTAACCGTAGTAGGCGCACACCCATCTTCCGTTTTCATCTTCAACAACATCTCCTCAGCTTCCTTCATCCTCCCCACCTTACACAACCCATCGATGAGAGTATTAAAATGAATCGAATCAGCTTTAACCACACCCCCATCATCAGTTCTCTTCCCACACATTTCTTGAAAAACTCCAAGAGCTTCATCAACCCTTCTTGATTTGCACAAAGTGTTAATAAGAATCCCTAACGTCACCACATCAGGCCGAATCTTCATCTCATCCATCTTCACAACTAATTCATTCATTCTACTAATCTCCATATTCCTTCCCAACACTGTCAACAAAGCATTAAAAGAAGGAGCTTGAAGCGGCGCCTTATTCTTCATCAGATCACTCAAAATCTCCCACGCTACATCGACCCGAGCATTTCTACATAAATGAGTAATAAACCGAGTCAACCAAACACAATTCGGAGCTACACCATGAACACTAAACCTCGAAATCAACTCAACAATCTCCTCTTCTTTCAAAATCCTCCCTCTCCAAACCTCATGGAAAACAATCTCACCCGTGATTCTATTAGGTCGAAAAACCGATCCTTCACAAAGCATTTCGTCGAGCACCTTGAACGCATCACCCACTCTCTTATTCCTAAACAATACATCAATCACAACGTTACGAACTTGCGTGTTCCTCATACTCGAATCGAGCCCTTCGTAGACGAGAACGGAGTGATCCACCATACCCATACGCGAAAACCATCTGATTAAAAGCTTAGTAGCTACAACAGTGAGAGGGATATTCTTCTCTTTAGCAATCTCGTAGAGACGGAGAAGCTTCTCCTTTGAATCCGGTTCGCTACCCGCGAACTCGATAACCGATTGAAAAACTAAAGAGAGAGACTCTTGAGATTGAGATTTCGTTGTTTCGAGGTAGTTAAAGAAGGAGAGTGCGAGAGAGTAGGATCCGAGACGGCGGGTGATCTGAGAGAAGGATTGAGGAGATACGGAAGGAGATGCGAGGAGGGAAGATAGCGTCTCGTTGGATGGCCAATCATGCTGTGGGGTTTTACGGAGATTCTCTAATAACCGGACTTCCGCTGATGCGTGGCTATCTGGTTTGATGATTCCGGGAGATGGGTCAGCATCAGCGGAGAATTTACGGAGGAGGAGGGGATGGTTTAGGAGATTGAAGGAGTTCCGGCGCCGGGAAAGTGATAGCAAAGTATTCATCTTTTTGAAAGGTTTTTGAAGAAGACGACGGCCGCCGGGGGAAAGTGAGGCGACTAGCTTTGATCGGTGGGTTTGATTGGTATTCTAATGGGCTTTAGTGAGGCCTTTGTATACATTGGGCCCACAAAAGATTATTACACTTAAGAAAAAATGCCATAAAAGATCGAAATCAGTTAAAAATTTAAACTTTTGTTCTTAAACTATTTATATCTCATATTTAAATGCCATAAAATATCAGAATCAGTTGAAAGATTTAAAATTTTGTTTTTAAACTATTTTTCATAATACAAAATTTTGTATTCTATTTTAAATTTAAATTCATTACACTACACTAATTTTCTTAAAACTAAAGAATTGTATATATCACTCAAATTGGGGCAAAACTATTTCATTAGTAATCAAAATAAGAAAAAAATCTATTTCTTTATCAGGCAAATATTTATTTATTTCAGATAAAACTATCTTATTTTACTTACCAGTCGTTGATATTACCCTGAACTGAATTCTGAAAATACAACTCTTCTTATCACATCAAATGCTATCCAGCAAAAACTCTTAACAAGTCCTATTAACGAGACTTTTATTTCTTCAAACCATGTCTTAACTAACTCAAAACGAAGAGCCTGGGAAGCTAAGAGGATTTCTAGAGCTTTGTCACTGAGAAGACAGTGAAACTGAAGACTCCATCTTTTCAGCTGATGCAGCAGCATCAGAAGCAGCTTTATCTAATCCCATTTTTTGCAACTCGCTTAAGAATCCATCCAGGTCGTTTGAGGATATCTTGTAAGGGCTGTGAGAAGGACCTGGAAACGAGTGTTTAGTTACTTCTTCCTTATACTCCAACAGTGCTTTGTTGATCAGTTCACCTACTTGAGCGTACTGCTTGCAAAACTTTGGAGTCACCTGAAAATGAAAGGGAAAACTATTAAAAACCAGGAAGAAGCATGATGATGATGGTTCGTTGGTTCAGGATTTGACCTTAGCATGATGTGGATGCTGCATCATTCCAAGGAGATCATGGTAGACTAAAACCTGCCGCCACAAACCAAGAGAATATATGGCTAGTTAATAATAATCAGCACTCAAAACCGAACCTGACATAGTTAATCATAAAGAAGAGTGTGTAAACGAACTTGTCCACTGCAGAAAGGGCCAGCTCCTATGCCAATGGTTGGAATATTAAGAGCAGAGGTTGCAGCAGCAGCCACAGGGGGAGGAACACATTCTAACACAACCGAAAAACATCCAGCTTCTTGTAAAGCCATGGCAGTTTCCACAACCTAATCGCACCAAAAAATAAACTTTTCATCCTCACAGCTTTTAAAAAACAAACGACCAAAAGAATGAAACTCTTTAGTTTCAGACCTTAACAGCACTAGCTATGTTTCTCCCTTGTGGTCTGAAACCACCAAGAACACTAATAGCTTGAGGAGTCAAACCAACATGTCCCATAACAGCAATCCCTGCTTCCACAATGGATTTTGCAGCAGTGATCCTTGAAGGTGATCCTCCTTCAAGTTTAATAGCATCCATTCCTCCTTCTTTCAACACTCTAACTGCAGTATCAACCGCCTGACCATCATGTAAACTAAAACTTAACCAAACAAACCTTTTTTTTTGCTCAAACAATACATGTCACAAAAGGGCAAAAGAAACACAACTTGGTGCTGTTCCAAAGAGATTATCTAAACAAAAGCATCCACATTTCTAGTCTAATGAAAGGATTATCAACCGCCTGATCATTATTCAAACTAAAACTTAAACAACCAAACTGCTGTTTGCCCAAAAAATTCACATCTGAAAAGAACACAACTTGGTTCTGTTTCAAAGAGATTAGCTAAACAAAAGCATCCACATTTCGACTGTAATGAAAGGGCTGCTTGACCATCATGAAAACCCAAAACTTAACCAACCAAACTGTAGTTTTGCTCAGACAATACATGTCTCAAAAGGACACAAATTGGTGTTGTATCAAAGAGATTAGCTAAACAAAAGCATCCTCATTTCAAGTGTAATGAAAGGGGCTGCTTGACCATCATGTAAACTAAAACTTATCCAACCTAACTAATACTTTGCTCAGACAATACATGTCTCAAAAGGAAAAAAGAACACAACTTGGTTCTGTTCCAAAGAGGCAAGGTACACATAAAAGCACCCACCTTTCAAGTGTAATGAAAGGGTTATTCACCTGATTGGTGCTGGACTCATAAGTACCAAACGGCAAATCACCAACAAGAAGTGGCCTTTTGGCTCCACGAGCAACGGCGCGGCAATGAACAAGCATCTCATCTAAGGAGATAGGAAGAGTGGTGTCATGGCCATGAACAACCATTGAAGCTGAATCTCCGACGAGACAAACATCGATCCCAGCCGTGTCGATGTGAACGGCGGAAGGGTAATCGTAACCGGTGACGACGGTAATCGGGTCGCCTTTGCGATGTTTCTGCCTCAGCTGCGTGAGAGTGACTCTCTGGTTCGGGTTTTGCGGTTTGGGGCCTCCGTATACGGTATTCTCCGGTACGTTGCTCATAAACCGGGCGGTGGTGGCTATGGTTCTAACGGCACGACGAGAGCAACTCCTGACGAGCGAAGAAGAAGCCATTATTTGCCGATTGAGAAAAACTGAACAGAGTTAAAATTTAAATTTAAATAAAGCAAATATATTTGACCAAAAAATAAAAAATAAAAAAATAAAGCAAATATATATAAAAAAAATTTAAAATGATGTTGGCGACTCACGCGTGACTCTGGATCGTCGAGACAGATACTAAAAAGAGTCTGGTTTGAGTGGTTAATAAGTGCATCGGTTATAGGCTTATAGCAAATATAGTGTCTTTTTTTATCTCAGTTACTACTATGACTATCCTTGGTTGGGCAGTCACTGATTACGGTTTCTTCTTCACAATGGAGAATCATTGTGAATCTTCGTTCTTGGGCAATTTTGATTTCATTTCTCATCATGCTCATCTCCTCTGAAACTGCTATGCACGACTACAAGAACGAAGCTGAACGGTTTCTTCTTTCAAGGAGGCAGCAAAGGACTTTACGCTGGCTCTTTCATAAGGTAATATATTAGAGATATGTTGGGCTGGAAGATGTGTATCTTACGGATCAAGATTGTGAAATCCATGAAAACCATAAAGACTCTGAAGACTAAAAGGAAAGACTTGAACAAGTTAATCTCAAGATATTCTTAGCATATTTACATTAATTGTGTTTAGGAAAGTTAGCATTATCTACGCTTAACATTATGTTAATGTTACCGCTATATATATGCATATTGTATTCTCATATGAAACACAACACAATAGTATATCTATTCTATTATACTTTATGTGGTACCAGAGCAGTCGATTTTTAGTGATCAAAATTAAAGCTTCCGCGAGTTTTAAGATTTGGTGATTATGATCATCGTTGGTGTTGGCGATGATGAAGCAGATGGTGATGATACCGACGATGAAGATGTCGTGGTAACGTGAGTATGGTCGCTGGGGTTTGGTATTTTAGTTATTAAAAAAAAATATACATATTATTAGGTTTGGTTTTCTATTTATGTTTAATTATGTGCAATAGTTATAGTTTAAGTGTTGGTTAGTGCAAGAATTGTCGAGAGTTTCAATTATGTCTATGGTTTATGTTTTTCTTTCCATGGGATTAGGGTTTTCAAAAGTTTCTTTGTTTCTTGAGATTTATTCTATAGTTTAGAATTTCTCAGAATTTTTTTTTCCATAGTTTGGAATTTGTCGGTTATAGTTTAACCATTACGGGGGAGTTCTAGTAGAACGTTTTTTAGGTCAATTTTTAGTCGGGTGTATGGACTGTCCAAGTTAAGGACGATTGTTTGTGGAGCTGCAGTTGTGCCCACGAGTGTATTCCCATTGTCAAGACCAAAGAAGAGCTGAAGTTTCATCTCTCCTTGTCTAAGTTAAAGTTTGATCCCGAAGGAATTTACTGATTTGTTTTCCTCGACATAGTGTCCACGACATACGTGGTCTGCTTTGTGATTGCAGATTTGCTGCATCCCACGTGTGTCGTGCAGGGGAGTATTAGAGATATGTTGGGCCGGAAGATGTGTATCTTACGGATCAAGATTGTGAAGCCCATGAAAGTCATAAAGACTCTCAAGACTAAAAAGAAAGACTTGAAAAACAAGTTATCTCAAGATATTTTTAGTATATTTACATTAATTGTGTTTAGGATAGTTAGCATTATCTACGGTTAACATTATGTTAATGTTACCGCTATATATATGCATATTGTATTCTTATATGAAACACAACACAATAATATATCTATTCTATTTAACATAATACATGTTAATCCCTTGGCTACTTTTCACATGTTTCGTTACATCAGACTCGTTCCTTTTATAAGGCATGTCAAAAATTCATCTTAAATTTAAAATGCCACATTTTATAGCATATTAATTTGATTAGTGGTTAATCAGTATGACGGGATAAAAGGGATGGACTAAGTGAAGGAAAACTTCTGAATGTGTCGGAGGGTTTCTGTTACGGGTGATAGATCATTATAAGTAGAAGTGTTGGTCGTTGTATTCCTTTATGCAAATGGAGAGTAAGAGTAAGTTACATTTGTGAGATGGTGACAAGACGATAGCTCGTGAGAGGTCGTCGGTTACGTTTGGGAGAGGTGATATGCTCGTGAGAGGTCACTGATCTTATGGTTAATGTGATATCAGAGATTCGGAGTTGGTATCTTATCAAATAACATAATAAAGTTGGATGCTATTAGTTAATACATATGATTTTTAGTCTTCACAAACCATGTTTGTAACCACTTTTGATACTTTAAACATTTTATATTGTTTAGTGTTACATAAAAAGGTCACATATCCTCAAATTTGCTTTATGCCACTTCAAACTTCGGAACGGCACTGCGTTACATTGTATTTAAGTCTATAGCTGATGTTGACTTCAAAATTCGGGACAGCACTGCGTTACATTGTATTTAACTCTATAGCTGATGTTGTTGTCTTCTTTCAGGTTTGAGGACATAACCTTGTGAGGACTGCTAGAAAGAATGCAATGCAGTCAGGTTTGGTTGAAGCGTTTATTCTTAAGGGGAAAGACCGGGATTGAATTGGATCTACCACTGATCCAATTCTTTGTTGCACCCCTGAGCTCGCCGGTTCTAGTTCTTGAAACCTAGGGGAAGTCATCATTAGGATGGATCTTGCGTGGCCGATAAAGATCAAGACTTTCTTTGTAGGGAATGAGACTGAAGCCAAGATGTCCCCAAAAACCTTTGTTTTAAACAATGCAGGTGTCTACTTTATTTTCTGTGACCCAGAGCTGAGTCACACAATCATCAGAGGGACAACTGTTTGGAAAAACCCGCATGGTTATTTACCAGCAAAGTTGCCTCCTCTGAGAGTATTATATGGCTTCATGTCCCTAGGCTATTACTTGCTAGGTCTAGTCTGGTTTCGCCTTGTCAGGAAGGATATAAAAGCCACAACTAAGATTCACTGGAATTTGAGATTGGTTCTTATTCTTAGCGTGTGTGAGATGACTGGTTACTTCTTTGAATATGCTATTTTAAACTCTACTGGGAGACGGCCAATGAAACTGACTTGGTGGGATGTCCGTTGCACTTTCATCAAGTAAATTAAAATTCTTTTAATAAAATTATATAAAACAGAAGTAAAAAAAATAAGTAAAAATTATATAAAATATAAGTAAAAATTATATAAAATATAGGTAAAAATATATAAAATATAGGTAAAATATTATTTCAAAATGTGAAATTTTGTATTAACAATTGATTTTAGTAAATTGTGATTGATTATAGTCAAACGTTAGTGATAATATTAACAAATTTTGCTATACAATTAATTTCATAAAATTATTTTTAATGATTATTAATGGAGTTGAATTAATTTATAAAAATTTCTGTGAAATTCTATATTTTGAACACTTGCAAACATCCCTGAAAAGTCTTTTATTGTTTCTCGTAGCAGCATTGGAAGTTTGCTTCGTTCTCTGGATTTCTCATCCTTGGCGAGAAATCTTGATAAACTTCAGGTAACTAAATATATGATTTCTTTTTATCACATCAAATGTTTCGTTTAGCTATTTTTTTTGTAGTTTCTCATTTGTTTAAGAGTATCATTAGTGATAAGTTTCTTAAATTCAGTCTCTCAACACTAGGTTATTGATATTTTAACATAAAACAGTTTTATAACTAAAATTAAATTGGTAAAATTTGATAGGTAGACAAGTGTAGAATTGGTTTCTTAGAAAAGGAGGGGAGTTTCTTCTTTCAAAATCGTTTATTTGCATTTATGTTGTCTCTTTCTTATTTTTGACATTTATATTAATATTTATCTTTAGACATTATTACATAATTGAACCACTTCGGATGCTTTAATACTCTAAATAATGTTCATTGCAGATTAAGATGAACATGGCTAAACATCAGCTTTATGCTATGTATGTTCTTTCTATTGTATGGATTGGTTTCGAGGTAAACTAGACTGTGTGATTTTGAAACTGCAGCCAGTAGGAGCTTATCTTCTTTCACGTTCTTATGTCTCAGTTTCAGCCCTATTTACATGCAACTGAAACTATGAGCGAGCTGAGAATGGAGTGGAATGTACTGTATTATGGCCTGCTAGCCATCCAATGCGTCATTTGGGGGGATCAGATGGAAAGATTGTGTTACATGAAAGTATACATTGCTTCCCTTGGCCTTTGATTGGTTTGACTGCAATATCATTCTGGTTTCTCTTATCTCGATGTATGTCAACCAGTCTTTTGGTTTATTGTTGGTTCAATAAACAATATTTGTACGATTTCTAAACCAACCAATAAAATAGTTCATGATAAGAGTGTAATGAGAGTTTCTTATGATAAACAGGTTGATGTATTGTACTGGAGTAGTGTACTGTCCAGTTACAAGTGTGATTACTTTTTAAAATCTGAGCACAAAAACTAAGAAGTTGCCTTTGGTTGTAGTGCGATTTGCTATTTGGTGTTCTGTTGGCTGAAGCTTTTGAAAAAGCTAGTTAAAATCACAAGTGAAGCTAATTATGTTAAGGTTTCTAATTTTCTGAGTGATATAAGAATTAAACTCATAATTTGAATATTGAGTTTAATTCTTATATACCGGAATATTTTTAGTTATAATTCTTTTGAAAAGTTGTAACCTTAAGTTTGTATTAATTAAAAAATAACTTCATCCTACGTGGCACCTCTCTATGCCTTCTATTTCAATTTAGAAGGATTCTAGAGCATGTAACATAACATATAGTCTAAAAATTATATTTTTTTTAGCAATATAATATTTCACAGACTATAGTTGGTCGCATATATTAAATATTTATTGTTCCGCAGGTTTTCCTTAAATGAAACCTACAAAATTACCTAATGTGATTAATATATATATATATATATATATATATATATATATATATATATATATTTATGTCAATTAATGATTTTAAACAATAAAGATTTGATAACAATCTGTACACTTTTATCATTTTTTATTTCTTTATTACTAAATTAATTACACAATTACATTTAATCATTAATAATAATCTTGAATTTGTTTGTGTATGTTGTATTTTGAATTTTTCAAAACGACTATAAATTACTAAAACTGTTAAAAGTCTCTTATAACCTTTTATGATCAAGGTTTAATTTTTTTTTATATATTAAGATACAGTTTTTATTAGAGCATGTGAATAAATATTTTATTTTAATAGGTTTTATATTAATATATATATATATATATTTCATATCATTGAAATTAAACTATATATCGTATGAAAATATATACTAATATTTTGATATTTGCATTGAACATATATTGAGAACTTAATGTTTTAATTTTAAAATCCGTTCTTATTTTTTTAAATGGTTATAAATTATTGAAACAACTAAACATCTCACTTTAAAAAGATTGGTGTAAAATTTTTTTATACAAATATGCAAATAATCATAAAATCATATGAGTAAAAACCTCATTTAATAAATATACATATTAAAAGTGTGTTATGTATCTATGTTAGTATTATTTAAAATTAATTATATATCATATACGATTGATAAGATTGATATTTTTGATTTATTTACCCTAACTGCGAATAAACAAGAGTGATCGTTAGATTTGTATGCACACGCCAATTTATTACATAATAGTAACTTATTTCTTAGTTATTTAATATATATATATATATATAATTATTATTTTATTATTTCATAATATGCAGAAAAATAAAATAAATAATAAATATAAAATACTTATTATGCAAAAAGTGCATATCTTAACCTAAGTATGTATCTCTTTAATTATTTTAAGTCTTAAGCATTATTTAAATTTTAGGCCAAATCAACAAACAAAATGAGAATAAACTTAAATATCAATATTTATATCAAGAAATAATCAAAATGAAAAATACACAAAAAAAATATTCAAGATAGATAGGATTGACACGTGAACATAAATTTTTCATAATCATAATTAATTTTTAAAATCATGATATAAAACCGAGCTGACATAGTTTCATTGTAACCAAATAGACCTGGAATTTTTTTACCTAAACGTTAGATTCTTTGCGGTAAGTGATATTTTGACATAAAAAAAAATTTAAAATGAAACCAGCTCATCAATAAACAAATTATGTAATTAAAAAAAAGTTAAAAAAAAAGTTTTAACGACCAAAATATTAATTCAATCAAGAATATCGATTTATTTTTCCATATAATTTTTTAAATAATGTTTATATAAATTTATCATGCGTAAGGTGCATGTCTTATCCTAGTTTATACTATTAAACCAGAATCTCTACTAAGATTATGCCCTTACCTTTTTAAGTTATTTACATTGTTATGTCACTGACATTTAATTTTAATATCTATATTATTTATTTAAATTAAATAACAGAATTTTCCCTATATTTTTGGTAACTAATACTATCCATATTTTGTAAATAATATTCTCCATTTAGTTTGAATATTATTTTTCGTGCTTAATAATATTTATATATATATATATATATATATATATATATACTTGAAACTTAAATTTTTAAAAACTTATCATGAAATTAAATTTAGATCTAAAATAAACAGAAATAACTTTCATAAGTTATTAAAAGCGAAAATAAACTAATATTGTCATATCAATAAATTTTAATTTTTTCTATTACCATTATATCATTTTTTCAAATGATATAATAAAAAAAATCATTAAACTATAAGATTTTATAATTTTCAGTCTTATATAATATTAAAATGTATGAGTTACTTAATCAAAAAAAAATCACAATATTATCCATATTGTTTTGCTTTCATCTAATCATCTGATATGGGATCATAAGTTAATAGTGGGGTTTGGATTTATACAAGGTTTTATCTAATTTTTAACTAACAAATATTTATTAAATCTGAAATAGGTCACCAGATCTATTGGTTCAACCACAATCCGAATCTATTATGAAAACATTGGCTAAAATTTAGATATAATAGAACAGATTTTTGAAACATAAATATAACAAATTTAAAATTATTTAATTTTAGTAAAACTTATAAAATCAATTAAATTTAATCAAAATAATAAAAATATACTCACGCTTTTAAAGTGCGGATCAAAATCTAGTAAGTATTATAATGTAAGAATATATCAGATAAAACTTAATCTATTATAATTTATTTTATTTCACTTTTTATAATATTGTCTAAGATTTTGAAAATTTTAACCCATATATAGCAAAGGAAATTTCTTTATAACAAACAACCACATTAAAGGAAGTTTAGCTTATGTCCGTATATATAACAAATGAATTTGTGACCGTATAGCAAAAATATTTTTTGACCTATAGATATATTAAACTTCTTTGATGTTTAATTGTGATCATAATAGAGAAAACAAAGTATGACCCATTTATATAGTAAATGAATTTTAATATATAAAACAAAAATAATTAAAGTTGGTAACCATTAATAATGAGTAACACAAATTTTATTGTTTTTGTAAAGTCAAGGTTAAATTTCTAAAAGGTTCTTGTTTTAGTAGTATTGATGTGGCAAACCTTTCTTCTTCACATGTTTAGATCTTTCTATATGTTAAGATTTAAAAATTTAGATTGTAATTTGCACACAGTTAACCACATAATTTTCATAGCTTAGAAAATATTTAACAAATTTGAAACATTTACTTTTGATTTTATATATAATAGGTAGAAATTTATAATGTCACAAATCTTTCCTGTTTTTTTTTTTTAAGTTTAGATTTCCTATATGTTATGATTGAATATATTTATATTCTAAACTGTTTAAATCCTAAAATATTTTTAAGCATAAAATATAGGATATATGTATAACTAAATAATTAGTGTAAACTTGTTTATGAACAGGATATGCAACTTATTATTTGTTTGAATGTCCATAGTTAGAGTAATAACAATATGATAATAGAGCATATATTTCTATATTTTATAAGTTTAGAGTTTACATAGCCTTAGCCCTAAAACAGTAAATCTAATATGTTTAATAGCCATAAGTTATTTAATCCAAGATGATTGCCATAATATGTTAATATGTAAATCTTATGAAAATATATGTGAATCCATGTTCATTATGTATTGCATTATTAGTCTTTGTAGTAATCTATAAGGAAATCTTAAAATATATTCAATAAACGCATATGCCAGAATGTATGACAAAAAAAGAAGCTGATTTATGTTAGCACAAAATAGCTTACATCGATTTGAGGGACACGTGTCAGTCTCACTTTGATTTGAGAATGAAAACGTCGAGGTGTCACGTGTAGAGAGCTTCTCAGTCAAACTCTACATAAATGCGTTTACACTATTAATTTGCTGATTTTTTTTTCAATATAAAATTTACATGGAAGGTTCTAATAAAAATCATACTATCCAGATTTTTCGGTTCAAATCAAAATCCATGATTAATTATGTATATATATATACATTATTTTTTATTCTTTACGTATAGGACATGACAAAATATGTATAATTTTTTATTCGATTTGGTTTCCATTTTGATTTGAACGGAAAAATCTGGATATAAGAAAATCAAATATTAGAATGCAATATCTGTAAACAACAGAGAAAATCACAAATATTCATATGTTTAGGAATGGATATCTGATTCCATCTGTTATATGTATATATATAAATATATTTAAATAATTATATATATAATATCATTTATATAAGTTTAAAGATTCCTCTTACTAGTGTTCATCCGTTTTCTATCATATTTATAAACATCAATTTTGGTCATAATTTTAATTCTTAAAAAACAGTTTGATTACAAACTTCAGGTGACTACTTTGAAAACAAAACCCACATTTTAAAGAATTACAATAATCACCTCCATTAAATTGCAAAAGTTTTCAGATTATCGTAGCACTTATGTTTAAACTTAGCTTTTGTTAAAAGCCCTTTTTCAGGAAAAAAAACTTAGCTTTTGTATTTTTATTTTGTAGACTTACTCCTCTATCCAAAAATGGATCAGAGAGTTACAAAATTTGATACAAGTTATGGCCTATCAACGGATGTTAGTGGCGGTCTGATTATAATACAATCTAAGATCTTTAAAAACTTCACCACAACACCATTGATGAACTCATTTCATTTTAATGTTGATGAATTTTCATATGAAGATAAATCTGAAGATAAGACATACTTTTATTATGAGGGACTGGAAATGAATGATGCCAGTAGACGTTTGAACATTCTTATTATATGATAAGTGATAAAATAACATCATTTCCAGATTACTTTATTATGAATGACGTTACTTTTTGAGAAGAATGTCAGGAATAAAATCTCGACACTTAGAAGACTTAAAAGAAAAATATTATCAAGATGCAATGCAGACCTTGCTTGCATAAAGACATTTTGATGGATATTAATTTTATATTCTTTCAAAAAGAAAAACATTACTATTTGTTTATCTTTTCACATTTGTGAAGTAATGCCTACCATGACAGAACAAATTACTCAAGAGCTTATTGATATTGTTGATGCTGTCCAAAG